TATTCTGAACTATGCAATTTATGAAAACTATGCAGCCCATTCAGCAACTGAAGAATTTGAAAGTAAATTAAAACAAAATATAATTTTACATTAAATAAAAAAGTTTTAAACTTAATTAAAATAAAACATATCTTAAATTAAAACAAGTAAACTGTCATGTTTATTGCTGCCAAAAAAAAGTCAAACACATTTGGACAGTGAAGGAATGTCAGGATTCTTGCTCAGAAAAAGGATCAACGTGCTCTGAAGTCAGAGCATGTTCCAGTCCACAAAAACTTTTTTTGTAACAAAATATCGATTTCTGCTGTCCCTGTATCGATACATTATTAGCAAACAAAATATCACGATACTACACAGTATCGATTCCCCCCCCACCCCCCCAGGGTAGTGATGATTGTTTTGCAGCCACGGGTGATAAATGAAGACTATACTGCTCAAAAATGAAGGGAACACAGGTAAATATCAGTACAAACCATTGTGAACCTATTTCACCTGCTTTGGTGTAAAGCACTAGTGAGGGGGAACCGGAGCAGCAACAACTAGGGAATGGTTTTGCAGGTGATGGAGAAACTACTGCTCTCTCCTTATCCCTCCTGACTGATTTTTCTCTAGCTCTGCTTTTTGCTGTTGAGCTTGTCACTGCTGATTACCTGAGACAGTACCTGCATCCCATTAAGGTTCACAGGTCATCACAAAAAGGTTTGTCACCCAGCACAGTTATAAAACTGTGAGGAGATACCAGGAGACGGGCCATTAGAAGAGTAGAGCAGGACAGAGCACTAGAAGAGCAGAAACAGACTCCACAAGATAGGTATCACCTCTACTATCTTGAGACGGGGCTGGAAGGCACAGCAAACTTTTTTGTGATAGCACATTGACATGGCACACTGGAGGAGCAAAAGTAACTCTTACAACCTGCATGGGCTGCAGGTGCTATCTCATGCTTCCAGCAAAGACAACGACACCAGCTAAAAGAGTCAGTCAAGAAGTATAAGGAGAGAACAATGGTCTGCAAAACCACTTGCGAAACTATTTCCTCTTCTGAGATCATCTTGCTGTTGCCACTCCAGTGCACCTCATGTCACTTTCAATTGCACTAAAGCAGCTAAAATGGATTCACAATAGTTGAACCTTCCAAAATGGGTAGATTGGTATCCCCGAAATTTAACTGACTTTGTGTTATACTACTGTGATTACATTTTACTTTTACTTTATTTTTACTTAGAAAAATAAAGCGTATGAGAATTCAAAAACATTAACATCTGATGAATTTCATTTAGTGCCTCATTTTGGCTTTCATTATCATTTAATCTTGGCTCCTGATCTTATGGCTGAGCCACATTTTATTTGGAAGATGCTTTGGGTGTGCTCAGTAAACACACAAAACAAGCCAGAGAAATGTGACCCAATGTGGTCAGTCTGATGTAAAACCAAAAAAGAAAACACCAAATTATGGAAAATCACCTGCAGACTGCAAATATGTGCATTTATAGTAAGCTTAGAGGTTAGGTCAAGCACAACTAAAACTACAAATCTTTACATGCACATACACATCCACACAATTATTCTGTACACACAGATATGAGACAGTGGCAAACAGAGGTGGTCTACCTGTGTTTGCTAGAGACACGTCCTCTGCGGCTGGAGATGGTACATCATCAGCTAAACATTCAAGCACAAAGTCACACTGTTAGCCATGCAGATAAGCACAACTATAGTTACATTTGTAATTACTATGGTTAAATATATTTTATGTATTATTCAACTTCATGCTGTGAAAACATGACAACAAATGTCTCTATGGCTTTATGTAAATGTCATCTAAGTGACAACAACTTAGGGATACTAGAAAGGCTAAATGTAGTCCATCATGCCAACTACAAAAGAACCTCAAATAATGCAGCTCCTAAAAAATTTGTGACCCCAAAATAAGACCATTATATTCATAAAAAATGCTTGAGGCAACACCAAAACTATAGTAATAGTATTTAAAATACTCCAGTTAGAATCTGTACAATAAAAAGGGATTCTGATGTCTGTGCCCCACATTTATAGTTGTGGTCATAAGTTTACATACACTCATCATGGGAATAAGCGTATTAGCATTGGAATAAATAAAGTCGGCTAAGTGGAATTGCTTTCCTAAACCCTGCCCTCAACCCTACTGCAAATTTGTGGACTACACTTAAAAGCTGGTTCCATACCAGGACACCAACCTATTTAATATAAATCTGCCCAGTGGTCAAATATATACGAACCTCTATGTACATTTGCTACTGTGTGGATTACAGAAGAGCAACCATAAATTAAAACCTCTGCCCCTAATTCTTTTTTTAAAACTTGACTAAATATAACAGATTAAGAGCTGAGCACACCAACCCTTATTCAACAGAAAATAGTGACCATTTATACTAAATTTGGTGATTCAACAAGTTTGTTAATACAGTAAAAGTTAGTTCATGCTGTCATAGTGTGTTACTTTGAAGAAAACTGCTGATGCTGTGGGTACTGTGGGGTTGATTTTTGGGTTCTTTCCGTATACAGTCAAATAAATGTAACCACTTCCATGTCAACCTCAGTGCTTATACCCTATTCTCCTCAGCAGGCAAACCTTTAACTGGTACTGTATGCATGAAACACGTATATTATGCATTTGCTCACCAAACAAAACTCTATTTTTAAGACTGCTTTAAATTACCTTTCACTTTGTTCTACTGTTTTGACAGAACAGAGGACCCAGACAAGTAAAGTAAACCTCAAAGTAAAAGTGACTGAGGATTGCAGTGCTTTGGTCCGGGACAAACACCAGTTTATACTCACTGTTGTCATATCCTGCCACTGACATGAGCCTCGACTCCAGAAGCATGGGAATGTTCTCACACGAGAAGCACACGCTCTGAAGGAAGTTACGGCATTTTCGAGCACTGGCTGACCTGAAGTAATCCAACATGGTTTTGATGAGTTCTGGCCTTCCTGCTGCAGAAGAGCTTGAGGGGTCAAGCTGATATTGGCACCAAGCTTCACTGGGCATCATTTGACACAGCTCCATTATGACTGAGTGCGACTGACTGCTGAGGATGTGGAACAGTTCAATGGAGTCCTGAGCCAAGACTGAGTTCACATTTTCATGGTCAGGGTTGACCTCCTCATCCATGGTCAGACTCCATCGGCTGATACAAATAAAGAGGGGGAGACACAAATAAAGTCACAATCTTACCTGTGAAATGCAGCTTTGACTGAAGGAAGCAAGTAGCAAACATGCAAATCATACATTCATATCGTCGTACATCAATATAGTAGTCGATGCTTCAAACCCAACACTGTGAGCATTAACATTACAATCACACAGAAAGCCACAAAGCAAAACGATCGTCCATTGCATTTGCAGGAGACCACGTGCTCCGCACTTTATTCACTGAAAGTGAGGCATACATGGACAAAAAACCATGAAACTTTTTAACACGCCCTTGATAAACCAGTAAAACATACTTCTATGTGTCCATCGACCTCACAGATTTACACTTTAAACAACTAAAAGTGCTCCAATAAGTAAACAGCGTTAACTGTGCTCTAATTTAGGTGAATTTCGCTCATTATTAACGAAAAAAAGCGATTTTGAGGGACGTTTGAATCATTAGGAATCATTTGTGTGAGTGTGCGCTTTTTATACGTTTATTATTATTATTTTATGTAGACACGTCATACCGACATTCATTTCTTTTTTTTCTCGTCATTAAACTTTTATGTAAAAAAAATATCGACGTCCACTGCTTTGTCTCGAGCTTGTCCTCAAACGGCTTCGAGGCGAGGTCGTTTAAGGTAACGCGCATCAAAGACTGCGTCATTGTGTACAGCTCAGCAAAGCTAACAAACTCAGGCTGCGCGGACAAGCAAAAGTCTGCGACACAGGGTTACAGTATAATGTTCATAAATAAAATAAAGACTCACCAATAATACTTGGCGCAGATTGCAACTCAGTGCGGCCAGCCAGTGTCTCTATCATTTTAAACCGAAACTCATGGAATGGCTGGCTACATGGTTTTTGTTTCGTTTTCGTGTAACGCTCCACCAAATTGGCAAAGTCAGTGGCATACGCTGGCCTCCTCCAGATGAACAAAGGAGATATAAAATAGTAGGGTTCTGGAGGAATGATGTATTTGGGTATTTAAACGACTGCGTGACCAGGCAGAAATTTGTGTTAAAGCAAATTTCATGGGTTCCCAAGACATCTGATGGCAAGCGAATGACCATACCACAGGAAATGCCATGGGTTTAATAGTGCGATATCCCGTGTATTAGATGCGGGCAGGTAGGCCGGTGGGTGAGTACTGCTTGCTTTGCGCATCAAAATCAGGTTTAGTTTATTGGATTATTCCAGTTCCGAACCCGTTTCTTCCTTACAGAAGCGCTAGAGCTTTGGAGCGCGTGTTGCTGGCGGTTCGCCATTCTATTCCGTGTTTTGCCAAAGAGTCTCAGTCTGGACAAGATGCTTTTGACATATTGTAGGAGCTTCTTAAACAAAGGCAAAATGTTGTAGCTGCTGCTATTTCTCTTTATCCCACAAATAATATATAAAAATGAATATGGACTGATTTTGAAGGGAGGATAGTGCGTTTATTTTACATCATCCAAAACACACTGGTGCCTGTTATAATACATGAGTATCAGATATGTTGTATTTTGTTATATCTCTGTTGTGAAGCTCTACAACGTCAAAAACGTCACAGTTTAAGTTTAGCGCCTCATAAGCGGACTTAGATGCGATAACATGTCTACTCATTTCCAGGCTTACGAGCTGCAGTCACCCACCTTTTTTCAGACGAAGTATTGCAGTTTTACTTCTTTAAGTACTTTGGTGATTCGGTTTTAAAGGAACTTCAACAGCCATCTCGTCCTTCAAAATCCCCACCCTGACCACATTTCCTGATCTTTGACCTCCCAGTCGGCACTCTTTCATTTCATTTTCTTTATTTGTCAAAGACCATATACAAAAAAAATACTGAACTAAGAAAAATTTCATTGTACCAAACATGATTAAAACTATTAACTGTGCCACAAAGGATCCATACATACACACTGTATACTCGTGTTTTATTTTTTATTACTTTTCACGATCGCTCTGTACAGCTTTTCAGTTGGCTTGTTCTTGGCATAGTGTTCTCCTCCGGTCCCAGCTGGCAGCTGAAATAGCAGGACTGATCACCCAAATTAGTCCCAACTGCTCTACCAGCCTTCAGGCACTGCCCACCAAACCTACTGCCTCACCACTTCTCTGTAGCAGAGCAGACCACACCCCTGCCACATACTGCCATTGCCTGACTGAGGCCAGGGAGCCATCCGGCAGAGCCTATCCCCCCACACCAGTGGGAGAGGAAATCCCCCATGATCATCTGCGCCCCCGACCACCTTTAACTTCAAAGGTGAGAGCCAGATACTACTGCGTGATCTTGCCATTGGCATCCTTGGTAAATGGTAAATGGCCTGTATTTGTATAGCGCTTTTATAGTCCCTAAGGACCCCAAGCACTTTACACAACCAGTAATCGACCCATTAACACACACATTCACACACTGGTGATGGCAAGCTACATTGTAGCCACAGCCACCCTGGGGCGCACTGACAGAGGCGAGGCTGCCGGACACTGGCGCCATCGGGCCCTCTGACCACCTTCATGCAGTGGAGCCATTGCAGCAGGGCATGGTCTGAACAGAGGGTGAATGACTGTCCCAGGATGTAATAGCGAAACGAGTCAACCGCCCACTGGATGGCCAGACATTCCTTCTTTATCTGGCCTCTCTTTCTAACACTTCACAGCTGATGTATACAACCGGGCAGTTGACCCCCCTTACAGGCTGGGACAAAACAGCTCCCACTCTTCTGTTTGAGGCATCAATCTGCAGAATTAAAGGGTGTGAAAAGGGTCTCCCCACAGAGAGCCTTCATCACATGCACAAATCCTGCTCAGTCCACTGGACCAGATCTGGCACCCCCTTTCGGGTGACATTGGTTAAGGGCTGGTCAGCTCCTCAAAGTTTGGCACAAATAGTTGGTAATAACCAGTTAACCCCAAGAACCATCTCACCTCTTTTTTGGTCTTGGGATGCGGGCAGGATGTGATGGTTGTAGTTCTCTCCAAATGCGGGTGCAACTGCTTGACTCCTAAGTGGTACCCGAGATACTGTACCTCCCTCTGTGGAACTGCATACTTTTTTGGGTTGGCTGTGAGCTTGCCTGCCTTAGAGACGCCAGGACTACAGCTACTCGCTGCACATGCTGTGGATTATGACATCATCCAGGTAGGCGGCAGCATATGCAGCGTGTGGATGCAGCACCTGGTCCATAAGGAGCTGGAACGTGGCAGGGGCTCTGAACAAGCTGAATGGAAGTGTGACAAATTGGTACAAACCGCGCAAACCTTTGTTAAAATCAGTGTAGTTAAAAAAATGTGCCTAACCAGGAGCTCATTGATCTGCGCATTGGATAAGCATCAAACTGCAACACTTCATTCACTTTGCAGTGGCCAACACAGAACCCTATAAACTCATCTTTCTTCACTGTAAAAACTATGGCATCCTTGCCAAACCGCGCACTGTGCTACTCTTCTATTACTCCCATATCAAGCATCGCAGCCAATTCCTTCTTAAGCAACTTGTCTTTTATGTTCAGGTAACCTGTAGGGCCAAAAACGCATTGCCATGCTAGGGCGCCATTTCAAAATGGTGATCTATGAAATTTGTATGGCTGGGCAGGCGGGAGAACACGTCTGCAAACCACTTTTGCAGCAAAGTAGCATCTGCTCTCTGGGCCTGTATGAGATGATCATCATAATCTAGGAGGCAGGAATGGTGGAACGTGGCACCTCCGGCCTGAACTGATCTCTCTCCTGAACCATGCTCACCAGAGAAACAGTTTCAGCCTCTCTCCATGCTTTCAAGAGGTTGAGGTGATATATCTGTGTGGCTCCTCCCCTGTCAGACTGTACAACCTCATAGTCAACATGCCCCCTTTGCCATGTGACCACAAAGGGTCCTTGGCACTTGATGAGTAATTTGGAGCTAAAAAAGGGAGCAATACAAGCACTTTTTCTCGTGGTGAAAATGAGTCTAAGCCCTCTGTCGTCCTGTTTCTGGGCCTGGAGCATGTGGCAACCCCGCCAATGTGTGTAGCTTTGCTCTGAGGTCCAGAACATATTGTATTTCATTTTTTAGCCGGGCTTGGACCTTCCCCACAGTTGTTTCTTTCCACGGCTTCCTGCCAAACAACAACTAAGCATATCAATATATAACACCACCCTTTTGACCTGATATGGCTTTTACTTTCTCATCATCAGACTGAGACTATGATGACTGATTTAATCCATGTACATAGACACATACCATGATTTAGCACCATCCGTCAATCCATTCATCTATCTATTCATTTAATCTGTTTGTGTGTGTACCATTAAATTTCTGTGAGCCAGCATAAACATGTGAGGTCAGTGCAACTGAAAACATGACAGGAAAAAGTTAAATATATATTATATTACATAACCATTAATAATTCAGTGACAGTCACCCCAGACAAAAAAAAAATTCCATATCATTTGCATGGCTCTTGTTTTCTTCCCCTTTCCTCATAGGGGAGGTGCATAGGAACCAATTTCCTCATTTACTCCTGGTTTTAAAAGCTATCTTGCTTAAATGAAGACAACTGGATTACCACGGGAAGAAATGAATTTTTAAAACATATCATAAGATTAATAGGTGTATGTTGCTAGGGGCGTTGTGTTTGTCACGAATCAGCAATAACAAGCATTTTTACTACTCAAACCGAAACGGTGTGTTCTGTTTCACAATGAATAGTTAAGTAATGGCTTCTAGCTATCTAACCAGAAGTTTTGAACAAACTCAGAGCTCTGTTGGAGGCTGCAGTGTGTTTTTTAAGTGTTTATGACAAAGCAAACACTTTTATCTATGCAACTGAGCACAGTAACAGTTTCATTTCTTTTGTGCAGGGCAGTTTAATGTGACATATTCATTTTTTAAAAATTGCATGTAAAGCTTTCGGATGATTTGTAGCCAATGTGAACAGTACAGAACACTAAGTACTGTCAAATCAAAGGTATTTCGTGACAGGTGAGCAACTGGAGCAGCTCAGAGACAGCTTTTTACCCTCCCATTCTTTAAACACATGCTCACTCTTACAATCACCACTGCAGTAGCCTTTATAACTACTCATATTTCATGGCTATGACAGTGGAGCCCTAAAACATGTTGCACACACAGACCTAGCATGTGTGTTACTGCACTCCAAGTTAGCAAACAACTGGTGCACTCTGAACACTAAACCGCACTCACACAAAAGTGAAGGCCAAAAGTTCTCGCAGAGACTGGGGCACACTGGACATTCCTGTAAAGTTAAGTCAAATTAGTTTAGAATGTTATACATGGAGGTTTTCTGAAACTACATTAACCTGAAGGGAATTAACATGAACTACATCAAATTAAATCTTTGCTCAAAGTCATTCCAAATATTTTACAATAATACCTATGTGCCTGCATTTGCATGCAAAAGACCCCAGTAACTATACAATTTCTATATCAGTTTATTATTTAGAACAAATGACCTAAATCTTTCCAAAAAGAAAAGCTGCCCAGAATTTTGTACATTTTTAAAAAAAGTACTAAACCCTCTATTATGTATAACAACAGAATCGGCTCCTTCAGACCATTAAATCGACTGTCACCAACCTCCACTGTGTATATTCAGTCAGACTGTTTTAAACCTCAAGTATAATTGTTTATTTCAGTACAAAAAAGCGTTTTCCTCACATGCAATTTGGTTTTTAAAGCAATCACTGTAAAATAAAACACACTAAAATCCACTGAGTGTTAAAATATCAGCAATTAAATGAGATGATGTTATAGGGACAAGCACACTTATGGAATTAATTAAAAAGGCATTTATAACTTAAAATGTGAGTAAAAATATTCAGTTTTTTCAAGGACAATAGATCTAATGGTCCATTTCCAACATTTACATGTTTTGAACATTTAGATATTTTGCTGTGTTTGTATTCCAGGGAATTCCTGTCCAAGTGCAGGAAGATCCAGTACAGGCACAAGGAGGATGAGGAGGATGCTAATGTTGCAAGTCTCAGATCAACCAGCTGAGCGCTAAGAGCTATGACTCTGGGAAGGTAAATATATATATCAGTTTGGACAATATCTCAAATAGCAGTAAACACACACTTTCTCT